TGGGAAAGGAATGCATCCTATTACTTATTAATGGATCACCTAAAATTGTGGGTGACATTTGTGCATCCCATGAATGCAGGGTGTTGTTGTAAAGGCAGGAGAGTGGCGTTGTGAAACTGTCAGGCATCTTTTGTAAAGTTTTTTGTAGCCTCAAGAGCAAAACTCCTGAATACAGAGTCTGTGTGAAAGAGATAGTAAAAACAGAAACCTTGTAACACACTAACATAAGTCACAGTTAGATAAGTACATAGTTTGTGATGTAATGGCATGTGCATGTATGCATTTGGCAGATGTTCCAAAGTGACTTAAAAGGCTTTCAATGTATATTTTTATGCGTGTTCTCTAGGAATTGACCCCATGACATTGCCGTTGCTAGTACCATGGTCTACAAATTGAGCTACTTAAAATAAAGACATAACTAGCAATTCATCTGTCATTTGTGACAAATGAGTCACTCTACCCTGTACCCCGCTGACCCCGGTGCTTATAACCCACCACTGACCCTCTCTCCCCCTGTGTGAGTTCAGACCCTGGGGCTTTTCCAGGACACGTAGCCATACATATATACACATCCCTTAGTATTTTCTTGTCCCCTGTATCCATCTAAACTCTCATGGTCCAGACGCTCATTTTCTCATATCCACCCTCCCCCAGTCAGGCGAGTGACTCCTGTCATTGTCGAGGCATCTTTGTCTTGGATATGCGATAAAGGGGTCATTGTTGCTATTCTTCTGTTCCCAGCCTCTCTCTCGTCCAGTCTATCTCTCCATAATTTATTTTCTCTACACCTGCTGGTAAAACACTATTTGATAAGTCTAATTTTACAACTTTACAGGCAATTCACATGCTCAGATGGTATGGACATCACATGACCAACAACTGAACTGTACTCACTAAACTGAACTCACTAAAATCAATATTACAGAACAGCCAAGTCAGGTAATCAGAAGTCCAAAAAAAAAAAAAACTCTAGTGAGTGTGCATACACAAAACGGTTTCCTAAGTGTTCTTAATAGATGTGTTAATGCCTTTTATGTCCACAGTTGGGTACTTAAACATGTCCTGTAATTGAAGTTTCAGTCACGCACGCATGGTACACTAGTAAACTTAACTAGCTATTATGATGATATCTACATTGTCATAGCAGAGTGGTCACAAGCTGATATAATGCTCATATATAAGATGATATATATTACAATTATTTGAACAAGGACACAGTAAAACTATTAATATTGTTAAATACGATAATTTAAATGAATGGTTTTCATTATATTTCAACAGTTTTAATTATTTTAAAATGGTATTTATTTCTGTGATGACAAGGCTGATTTTTCAGCAGCTTTTATTCCAGTCTTCAGTGTCAAAAGATCTTTATTTGCCGATAATCTCAGAATTGTCTAATGTCATCTGATTAATGTGTCTGACTAATAAAAAATAACATTAAAGGGGACATAACACACACAGTTTCTGCCAATCTCATGTTAATCTCGAGTACCTATAGAGTAGTACTGCATCCTTCATATCACTGAAGAGTTTTTAGTTTTATCAGATTTATAAGACAGATGCAGATATACCGCTTCTCTACAGAAAACAGTCAAGTTGATGGAGGTGTGCCATGGGCGGAGAGCTAAAGAGTCACGAGCACGCAAAGCTTTTGCGTTGCAATCGTCTGCAAGCTGCAACATTGATATAAATAAAACAGGAACAAAAACTTTATTGACTTAAATTTTATTTCATTTGTTTATAAAACATTTGTCACCGAAATGCCGGGAACAAACACTTGCACAACTCCGGAGAAACAAACTGCATCCTCTGTTCCCTTAATGCTGGGTTTTTTGGGAAGCTGAACAAGGTTATCTTTCTCTCACAAACAAAAACACACTTTTTTTGGTGAGACTGTTGATTTTGTGGTCTAAAAACAAAATGACATATCCTTCTCGAGCAAGTCCTGTGCAGTGCTGCCGATGACTTCTGTAACCCAAATGAAGCACGTTGATGGGCGCGCTCTTGCTCTCGCTCTGGGGTGCGTTTTCCAAAAGCAACTATGGTCGCAAGTTCCGTCATTACCAATAGAGTTAAAGGGAACTAACGACCATAGTTAGCTACACTGTAAAATCCAATAGTTTACCGTACTTAGATATAATTAGTTATCTTTACTTAGTTGTTATACTTACTCGGTCTAATGTATTGCTAATGTGCAACAAAACAACAGAAGAAGAAATACTGAAGGTTAGAGAGCATGCGCAACAAGCAATGGTTTTTGAATTTGTGCGCCGAATTTGCTGAGACTGCTTGCATTTTTACCACTGGACAAAGACTGATTACTTCTATACAATAATAATAAGGTAAGTTTAAAAAAATAATTGTCAATGTATCTTTCTGTGTGCTGCTAATTTTAACTGACTAACCTTGTCAGCGGTGTTAGCTAACAGATACCAAAGATCTTTGCTATTCTGCTGTTAGAAAAAAGACTGTAGAAATACAGAACTTGTTACCTTTAACTTTGAACTTTCACTACCTTAAATTTGTGTAATTGTATGTGTGTGATGAATGGAACTTTGTTGTCAATAATTTGTAATGGATGTTTGAAGCACTTAAGTTAGTGGAGTAACGCTTACTTGGTTTTTTTAAGGCAATCGGTTTGCATGCTTTTAGCAAGTAAATCAGATTGCTGTTTAAGTAAATACAACTTAGAAATTCCAAGTTGCAGGAAATGTTACATGAGTTGGCTCAACTTAAATAAAAGAGTTGTTTGAAATACGCACATAGTATATTGTACTTATTCATTTAGTTGTTGAAAATAGTGATTCTGAGTTACCAGAACTTGTGTGTAAGTTTACAACACTAAATAAACCTTTGTTATTGCAAATTACTATTCTTATTTCACTTTACTTGGTTTTTTCAAGGCAATCGGTTTGCATGCTTTTTTTAAGTAAGGTTTAGTAATTGGAATTTACAGTGTAATAATGCTTTTGGGAAACGCACCGCTGGTTGATGTGTGCGCACGCTTTTCCGGGAGAATTCTGCCATTTATGACATCATACAGGGCTATATTCGAAAAAAACGTTCTGAAACTTATACGAAGCCTGAAGGAGTGTATTTGGCAGAGAAATACTCCGTCATACATCCAACTCGTTTTTTTAAACTTTGGCCATGTTTATCATGAGAATTCAACTCTTTAACAGTGTACATAAGTTAGAATGAATGAAATATCATTAGACCTCCCCTTTACGTTGAATACAAGTACTGAACGTGTGCCACAACAATTTGATAGCACCAGACAGTGTGCGTTAGCCATTTGCCATTTCTGTGTTCCAGTAAAGACCTGCCTGAGGAGTGTGTCAGGGGAAGGTGATCGGGGGTTTAGCGTTACTCTCAGCTGAGTCACCCTTCCAGTTGATCCCCATTTCTCTTTTGTTTTTGCCAGTGTGTGGGCCATTCTTTAATAACGGTAACTTAAGTCCAGTGTGAGCTCAGTTAACAACATGGACTGACCACCGACTTCAGCCTATCAACTCACACACACAGAGTGACATCACTTTAAAGGAGGTCACAGTAATCAGATTATCCTAGTTATTCAGATGCACTGACAACCAGCAAACCAAGTATGTTCAAATTAGCCCCCCAGGCAACGTGAGGGAGAGGCAGCTATTACAGTAATTTTGGTATGCTAATGTAAATGTCTTTGTCCCTGACTCTTCGTGTCATTGTTCTAATATGATACATTTACAAAGCACCATTGATTTACACCAATTGTGAGGGGCTACTTTATTTTGACTGCTAAAATTTAAATATCAGAGTTACATTTTGTGACAAATGCTGATGCTAGTAAGGGAATGCAGTTATTGGTGAGGTAAAAGGGTACCATACACACAAGCCCACTATAGTGTGTCGTTGAGAGGGGACTGTACTGTGGGGGAGGGGGATGTCTAGGGTGCAATAGAGGGGAGCTGGGAAGAGGCTGGAGGGCTTGGAATCCGCCTCTGTTGCCACGGCAGCTGTGCCAATCTCCAAGTACGCCTACAGTTTGAAGAGGATACCTGAGCTCAGAGCCCCTGGATAATGAGAAGCAGTGAAACTCTAAACTCTGACAGCTAATGCTTTTACCCCTCCTGTGTCTACAGGGGCACGATAAACATGCATCCCATCTCTGGGAGAGGGAGCAGCACTGGGATGACTGTTTTCATGGAATTGACAAAGGCAGGGATTAGCAGACTTTGCTAAATCTTCTCTCGAGGGTCTGTCAAGCTCTGCTACTGCAAAAGCTGTACCCTTAGTATCTAGTGTTCCTTTTCCCAAGTGCATCCATACTCATCCATTCAGCTACTCTCTTCTTTCTGCCCACAACAACTCCAACTGCGCTTAGCAGCAAATAGCACAAAGGACCAAAAATAGCCCAATGTTTTACAGAGCAGAGCAGCTCTCCTTAAGAAGAGGAAGCAATGCCACGACAAGAGGCTATGAGCAAGTCCACACACAGCATCTATTCCTTTTGTTCTGTCACTACAGTCGCCCCACCTGTGCAAAACCCGTAATTCCCATTGCAAATTTGAGGATGCAGAATTATATATTTGATGCACTGCATTTATGTTGGGACTGTATCTGTCATGCCAGAAGTGTCCCAAAGGCATTTACCCTTAATCAATATGTTGCTGCGTATGAATATGTGTTGGTGTTGAGTGCATCAGAACACTGAGAAAAAAATGTGCAAATGTTGTACCTTTAGGGGTACAACAGCTTCTTGCTGGGGTTGTACCCTCAAAGGGACATCTTTGTATCCTTTTGAAACCTTAAAGGTTCATATTAGCATCTTAAGGGTTCATATTACTACTCAAAGATACTAATATGGACTTTTAGGCACAGATAAGGTGCAAAGTTGTTGCTTTAAGGGTACTGACCCAGTGACAAATTTGTCGCTTTAAGGGTACTGACCCAGTGACAAGTTCTTGTACCCCTAAAGGTAAAATTTTTGCTGTGAAAAATAAAGAAACATTACTCACTGTTGCTTGATTTGAGGTCTCGATGGATGATTGGCACAAAGGTCTGGTTGTGCAAGTAGTCCATTCCTGTCGCAATCTGCACTGCCCAATTCACCAGTACCCGAGGAGGCACCTTCTTCCCAGCAAGTGCCCGGTTAAGTGCCCCGCCACGGGCATATTCCATAACCAGGCAAAGATTTGGCTCCCGCAGGCAAACACCTCGGAGGGCAATGATGTTGCGGTGTTGGAGCATCCAGAAGAGTCTGGCCTCCTGCCTCACGTTCTCTGCCGTAGCACTGATGTCCTCATCTGGGTCCTGACGAGCTGCTTTAACAGCTACTTCCTCACCTCGCCACACACCCTTATACACCTTTCCAAAGCCTCCAGCACCGATCACCTCCTCCAAGCACAGCTCTGAGAAATCAATCTCCAGTGGCGACTCCCCACCGACCAGACCTCCCGGAGGCAACGCTGGATAGCTGGTGTCCCGTCGGGTCACATAATTACTAGGAAATATGCCCACCTTGTCCTGGATCTTGCCAGTCCACCAGCCCTCATCTCCAGACACTTTTGAGTCCTTGGAGAGCACCTCCAGTAGGTCGCCACGTCGCAAGGTCAACTCCTCGTCCGCTGTGGCCTCATAATCAAAGACAGCTGTCCAGTACGTGTTACTGCCTTCATGATGATGAGGAAGATGGGAATCTGGGGAGTCCACTGAAGAGGAAAAAGTAGAGGAGTTCTGGCTGCTGCTGTTGTGTGTCAGGCAGGGTATTGAGTTTGCATTTGCTGGGAGGGCAGGGGGAACTCTGGGTCCACAGGAACCTCCCCTACTGGTACAAGGTAGCGGGGCAGCACTGCCACCACCTCCAGCTCCTACTCCACTCAGTCTCGTATATGGATCCATCACTGAGTGTTCAGGTCAGCGATGTGGTCTCAAAGGCTGGAGGAGGCCCTCTGTCAACTTGCGCACAATATCCATGCAGAGCCCATCTACTGAGTGCAGGCCTTCTTGATGAGGAACAAAATCAATAAGTAAAGCTTTTGCTGGGCTTCCACTGCACTGTCCTCACCGACTGCTTGGATTGTCCACAGCACACTTTGTGTGTGTCTTAACATTTATAGAGCCATTTTAGTCAGTCAGTATGTGCTAACAGCTCTAATATGATGATGCTCTATAGTTCTAGATTTATAGATGATGACACTGAAAAAGAGTTTTGCTAGAGAAACCAAAGTCCTTGAGATTAGGTGAGAATATCCAGTCCATCAAGGTGTGAGAATCTTATCTTTTTGGTTACTTGATGCAGCATTGGGCTTTTCCATCTGAAGAATCATTGAAGACACTGCTTGGTTGGTTTCTCTTTTTAACAGCAGAATCCAGAAGTAAGCAAATATTACTAAAGATAATACAGTAACTAGATGGGTCTTCTGATAATTTGCCTTACATCACACATCATCATGTTCTAGTAGGGGTTAGGTTCTACCTAAATAGCTTGCACTGGAATGTTGTCTTAACCTCTAATCCTCTGATCCATGTAAAACTGTCATATTTGTAAACGTACATCGATGTTAAACTTTTTTTGCAATGAATGTTAATGAATATTCATAGCCTTAAACACATGCATGCGCAGGCTTAAGGCATCCTCAAACATTCAGCTCTGATTGGCTCACAGAGATGCACCAGCTCGCGATCTCAAAATATCCACAATTATTTGCACATTTGTGATATTCACTTTACGTGTCTCTTGTGTTGTATAAATTCGAAACATTGCGAACGCTATAAGACAGTTCAAGGAAAGCACGCGTCCATTTTAAGATGAGAATCACAACATGACATGACACAGAGACACAGGCCACACAGAGCCGTGGCTGTCATTAGCTTTAATCGACATACATAATGTACGCCACATATTTATCGCGTTGCATATCGAGAAAGGCATATATTCGGCGTATTAATATTTAATCGATAAACGTTACTATAGCCACTACAAGTCTACTGTTTGCAATTTAATCCACGTCATAAGCCAAAGCGACTGTCGGTTCGTGTTATTTCTATGAACCGCATGTGCAAGTGCTTACTTCGATCATTTCGTCCTCATTTTCCATAATTGTCATTTTAACAGTAGACATTTTATTTTCATAGAGCAGTTGAATCATCAAGCGGGAGTCAGATGCGTATATAAATAGAATTGTATGACAAGCTGAACAAAACTTCGGCTTGGTATTGGATTATTATGATACAGCGATATTGATATATTTCTATGAAGAATGAGAGTGATGTGGATTGCTTGCATAAAGGTGACTTTTATCCAGGTCGTAGCGATTAGGCGACGAAATTCTCCATAATATGCTTATGTTGCCCAAATAAAAGCCAACACAAGATGTGTCCACCATCTTTACAATGACAATACTACTAATAATAATAATATTAATAACAATAATGGTAATAATAATATCCACCTAATTACTTTCTAGATTCTGCAACGATATTTCTTTTAATCCAGAGATCAGTGGTAAAGTATGTGTTCCTCCAGCCAAATCAACCGGTTTTCTGAATTCGGATGTATGTTTGTGGTTGCCTGGATCGTTCACCGTACATCACAACATCCACACAGCTCGTCGCATGGGCGTATCATACCGCTGAAATATTGCCATTTGTTGTACACATCATCGAATTCCTCTGAAGGATGCTCTTGTAATCGTGCTCCCAGCTGGGTCAGTTGGTCGGCCTGTCGTTCATCTCAACTTGAATCGTTTCTTCCCCTGTTTCCTTTCCCTGTGAGAAAGGCAATCTATTCCATGGACCGGGCTGTCAACTCCTAAGGCTGACTTTGTATCCAAATACACCGGCTGGACTGGGGGTGGAAGACAGTAGGGCATTCTGGGAAATGGAGTTTATAGTGTATGCAAAGTGCGTTTGACCGTATTAGGATCATTTTATATAAGATAACATACTTACTAACCACAATAAAGACAGTAACACTGCAACATATTGTTACAATTTAAAATAAATATTTTCTTTATTAATGTTTTAAAATGTAATGGCAAAGCCTTATTTTCATCAGCCATTATTCCGGTTTTGAGTGTCACGTGATTCTTCAGAATTCTAATAGGCTGATTTGTTGCTCAATTCTAATTAATTAATATTGGCACTCAATTAGGCTATTAATTATGGTTCTTATTATTATCAGTGTTTTGATACTGAAAATTGCTGCAATATTTTTTTTGGACAACTTTTTCTATCTTCCATCTGAAACATAATTCCCCAAACGTTTAATGGTAGTAGGCCTATATCACGGTTTCCTCAAAAACAATAAGCAGCAAAAACTTTATATTATTGGCAACTTAATTGGAAGTCCTCTTTATTACCCTGAAACATAAAATGATGGATCTCTAATTTTTCATTAGGCAAAAATATCACTTTATAATCTTTATTGTCATATACCTGTCAGGTTACCTGACTATATGACAATAAAGATTATAAAGCGATATTCTGACTCAGGTAGATGGAAATGCAGTCCAGTGAAACAGCAGACCTGCACAACATGTACAATATTGAGAACAGCTTTGCTCCATTATGTCATACTGCCCCCTGGTGAGATTCTGGATCACATCAATGGCAGTTTTTCTTTTTGGCTTCTTGTAGTCATGCCATAAGGTCCTGTTCTCTTTAGTACACACTCTGTCTGCCATGACTAAGTTGATTTAGGTTGAGCTATCAGAATAGAGGACATAAGATCCCAGTCCCATTTACCTGCTCTTTCCGCATCACTCTTTGGTCTTGTAATAACAGAATAGAGTCTGTGGAGCAATTAAAGAGATTCATGGCAGCAGATAATGACATAAATTCAGAGGATGCAGTTAGACGGTGATTTTAAAGCAAAAAGAAAAAAGGATTTGATAACAAATGTTTTGCTCTGGAAAACTGAACAGACTTGGTATAGACATCAACCATTGTTTTCTAGCACTGTACTCTATGCATTGGGTCTTTAACTATTTAAATGTGAAATTATTTGTTAACCCGAGGACAAGGTTTGTTATATTTATTTATTTTAGATTTTTTTTTTTTATCAATGTAATGTAAAGACATTTAAAACCTGTTGTATGGTGGTGAATAATGGCATCACACATTGCTCTGGTGTTTTCATGGACATGCAAATTCACTAGGCCGCTTTAAATATTTTTGCTTATGGAAATTCACACACATTTTTAAGGCTGGTATATTTAAATGTGAATCTCCATTAAAATGGTTTCTGATCATTCACTTTTTTTGTGTCAGAATCCACAAATACGGTGTCTCCTTTTCAAAGCATTAACTTCTTGCTGTGAGACCTATGTTTGTTGATCTATTCTCAAACATACAACTAACTATAGCACAAAACTAGCTCTTTTAAAAACTTGCTGCACTTAATAAACAAGTTTTTTTTTTTTTTTTTGGTTTATAGTTACAGTTCTAGACGGTTTCTATAACTACAGTTCTGTTTCTATAAAAAGATTCTGCACAAGATTAAACTGTTTGATTTATAACATTTACAACAGTGTAAGGACACAGGACAACCTAAACTATGACAATTTTACCCAAGTATTAAAATCTATTTTGAACATATATTTAGATAACTTTATAAAGATCAAAAACATTATTTGCCAAGTTACAGGCTGCAAAGTATTTGCATAAATGTTGGTAAAAATCTGTTAAGAAATAAAAATAATTAAAAACAATTAAAAGTACATAAATAAATGCTTTACCAACTTGTTTCAGTTGACAAACAATACGTTTCAAAGTAATTTAATAAAAGTATATGCCCTATCCAGCATGGTGTCAAGTCGAGCGTGTTATAACACGAGTGACCACAAGGGTGAGCTATGCACTACTCAAAAAAATGTTCCTGACCTGCCTGCTAAGTATAACGTGCTACAGATAGACATGTATCTAAATTTATGACATACTATAGAGCCCTCCAAAAAAGGATTTTCTTTGCAACCGTAAAATGTTTCTGTTGCACGTACCACGTGTTTGCAAAAATGCTTTGAAATACCCCCAAAAATATGACACTGCAGTCTGACGTCATGCAATCGCATCAAAGCACATTAATTTCCATGTGGAAACATGCTGTACAGTACAACACAACACAACACAACCAAAGTGTCATTTCCACGTTTAAATTACGTTGTCTTTACAGCATTTGTTAATGCGTTGGTTTTCCCATATAGTCACGGTGTGCGATAGTATTAGCCTAACTGGTTTAATGCCAGTAGCTTCTATAATCGTATCTTAACCGTATGGTTTTGGATATGGAAATGAAAATGAAATGTACAATATTGATTTGTTTTTGTTATAAGAGAAATACTATATTTATAATGCAAAGAGAAGAAGTGTAAACCCAAATTCCACTAATTTCACTGTCAAAAACAGGAAAGCCAGAAAGACTGTGTCGTTGTTTAATGAATATGCCATTCAAGTGATATCTATTAGTTGTTTAATTTGTCTGTATATCGTTTGTAATGCTGTAAATTAAACTATAAACTATAACAATTTGCTCCCCACGTTACATTGCGGAATTCGCTGTCTTTCATACATTACTACAGACACTTGTGAATGCATCCCCGCGCATGCGCAGTGGCCTGTGTGTGTGTGTGTGTGTGTGCGCGAGTAGCACCGGGCGTCGTGGTTTCGGTTGGCTGGGAGGAAGAGGAATAACGAATGTGGAGCCAAGAAGAATTCCTCGTTGGCGAACGGCGCTGGGGCGAGAAGCGACAATATCCACAGGTTTTCTGAAACGTTTTTACGGACTACACATGTCTCCTTAGGGAAATTTAGGGAAGTTTCCCCCTCGAGCGTTCCCGGGTCGGCTAAGGTAAGAGACGTTTACCGGGGATAATTAGTTTTTACGATCAGGTTTAAATCAACAATGCGAAGTGGCGAGTAAAACTCGGGAGCCTTTGGACAGCTTTCAGATTTTGTTTCTTTATTATGTACACGATAATATAGTGGGCAGTGGTGGTTTTTATGAAGCAAGCACTGGTCATTATGCAGGATTTGGGATCACTGTGATGTATTTTCATTAAGTGAAAAAAACGTTAGCAAATATAAACGCTTTAGTCCTTCCTGATCAGTCAGCGCGCATGCGTCAGCACTATGTATTTTTTACTCACCTGAAAGGCCATGCTACAATAGTCAGACTACAAGTTTCACACAATGGTGCTCTTGTTCTTGCAGAAGTTAGTGTCTTTTGAAGCATCTTAAAATGACGTTTGTTGCTGGAGAGGGCAGATTGTTGCTTTCTCGTAAAGTTTTAGCACATGGAGAATCCTTGGAGAACCCAGTGGAAATGCTGCTAGGCAATATATATCAGTCTACAAATGTTGTTTTACAGTTTGTTTAGGCATGAATTAGCTATTTGGTTTGAGTTTAAAGTTTTGTGTTTAACAAATTTGTGCATTATTTGGATATACACATGTATTTTTGGTAAAAGGCAGAAGATTGTAATTTATATCCGCAATCTTAATAACAACAGGTGGCTTATGTATTGTTATTGGATTAAAGGAATAGTTCAACCACATTATTATTCTGCAATCATTAATTTAAGGTTGGGGGGGGCAATACAAAAGTTGTAGAATCATAGCCCCAGTCATTTGCTTTAACCCTGTAAAGCCACATGTAAAATATTGGTCAGTCATCATCTAATTGTTTGGTAATGCAACAGTTTATTGAACCTTTAAATCTAAACAACAAAAACAACATTTGGTTTGTTCATTGTTTTATTTATTTTATTGATTTTTGTCATGTTCAATATGTTCTGATAAGTATATATCTGAAATTCTGATAGCTTGTAATGTTAATCAGCAAGATCTTTACAGCAAAGCTGACATAAAATGCATATAAATATCAATCGGCATTCTATATTGCCCAATAAAATGTATTAAGATAATATTGAAATGCTTAGTTTTATGATCAAAGCTCTGTAGTCTTAATTGTGGGGGCCACAACATATAATGCTGTGCGATACAGTAATGACTGAATATAAATAAATAAACATTCATCAGAAGCCTTTTAAATAATATTTGATACTTTTTAACATTATTTTTTTTTCTAAAAAAAAAAAAAGGAAACGGTAATCAAGTAAACATAAGTTGCTTGAGTCCAGTAAGCAAATATTATTAATAATATAAAAGTTATTCTTTTTTTAAGATTTCACCGTGAAGGTCAGGGTTTTTAGGAGTCTTTAGAGATTTTTAAAAATAGGCCTTTTACTTGCAAAAAAGCAAGTTCAATCAGACAGCAGAACACATGTAGTAGATTGTGTACACCAGGTTTTCAGCAAATTATGATCATTAAAAGCCTTCATGTATCAAATATGATTCTTTAGGCTCCATAGGGTTAATTTTGAATACAAGTCCCTAACATTTCTGATTAGGTTGAGAGTACATTTATGGAATTAGTCATTTTCATTTTTGGATGAACTATCCCTTTAAGTGCTTTGTTATGAATATTATTAACTCCACTGCAGGTCATGCACTGATGTGTAGCTGTATAATTAAAAATCAGCATATGTTTCAGGGGAAGTCAGATGGCATTACCAGCGCACACACCACACCACCACATTAAACAATATAAAATTAGAGAACCAGACTGTCGTGCCTGGAATTTAGAGGTTTTATTTTAGTAACTTCCTCTCTGAGGCTATTTCAATCACATGAACGTATCTGATACAAGTCATATTGGCCAAATTCAGTTCTCATGGTTTGTGTATCGGAGAACAGTGAGGGTGAGCTTTTTTCTGGACAAATGTGGACATCAGTCACTGCTGCCGTTGACACAAAAATAGTCCCAAACTTGAAGCCAATTCTTCTTCCAGGTAATAACTTAAGACAAAATGTGTTTTTGTGAAGAGCTGAATGCTGTTGTAAATCTCAGTAACTGCATCCAGGTGTTAGGCTAAACTCCAGTTTTCTGTAACGTACCCTGTAAAGTAGCAGTATATCTGTGTGTGAAGGAATAGCTGGAGTTCTTGGAGTTCTTTTTCCATCAACTAACCAGAAAAGACTCACAAACACTGTCTTTCGCAGTCTGCTGGTTAGTTATTGATAGGTTGAGGGTTTTGAATAGACAAACTCAGCTGAGAGTAGTCCTGGATTGTCTGAGGGATTTGCATTTTGTCATTTGAGTCCTCGTAGGTCTGTTTAAGGCTGTGGTGGCATTTTCTTCTGCAAACATGCCTGATTGTTTTGTTTGTTCTTACATTTGTGTGTCATTGTTATCAGGTGAAGAGAGAAATGAACAACTTATGGGCCAAGTCTTTTTAAGCTCTAAAGATGCAAAATTATGAAATATTTTTGAGCAACAGTGAGGTCAAGAAGTTTAAACCATAAGTGGTTTGAATTTCATGTAGGTCAAGAGTTGAGTTATGAATAATAGCTATATCTTTATTGTCACATTGCACTACACACCCTTCTCTGTGGTCAAAAGTGTGTTTAGACAGACAAAAGATTTTCTAATTCATTTACTAAATAGACAGTACTTTTGTGAGTAATTTAACTGGGCTTGACATGCTTTTGGTTTCATCTTTTGTAAATGACCAGTCTGAGCAACAAAAGGGGAAAAGAGAATATTTTGACACGTAATAACTGCATACTAATGTGGACTTTAGTTTTCTGTCTGGGTTACTTTCTCGGGTAGGTTATTAGTGTGACATCACTACCTGCTTCCATGTCACCCATTAACTGGGCCAGAATTATCCCTAAAGCTGCTGAAGTTTCTTATTCTCTCTCTCTCTCTCTGTCTCTCTCTCTCTCTCGTTCACTCTGCTCTCTGCTGCCTGTTTGGCCAGAGTAAATATAGCCTGTTTGGTTTTTTGCGAGAGGATAAACACAGATGTCGAATCGGACTGTTTGCCACTGCGGACTCACCCCAACGGTTTCTCTTAGAGATATAGAAAATGACAGAAAAGGTATAATCATTTCTCAGAAAATGCACAATAATAATCAGAAAAGGCTTAATGTAGTGTATACAGTTAGGGCTGACTGTATCCTTATTGACCAGTTTGGCCGGCATGTGCCAAGTCACAGACTCACGGGTAATAGTTACTTCGTTCTAATTGTGTAATTACTGTAATAGTGTGCAAGGTAGTTAAATATTACATTAGTAATCACACATTAGCTTGGGAGCTATTTGCATCGTTAGGAGAAAACTGGTCTTTCTGCTTGTTTTTCTCATTTTGAGCGCTAAAACTGACAGCATTGTAATATGATATGGTACAGGATAGCATATAGGCTTTATTTGTGATTGTAGAGCTACTCAACCGAAAGGCTGCAAGTGGTTCTGTCACCTCGGTGTCATGCCTTATTGACGTGTCTTTTCTTGAGAATGTGTCATTTGTGAAAACGATTTCCACAAAGTGTCGGTGGAAGTCAGCAGGCTGCCATGCTGTTTTTACACCTGTTTCAGTTCAGCCTCTCCACCTGCTCCGCTCCAGAACCAGAGAGACCTGATTGACGAGAGAGATCCCACAGAGTCGAGGGAGTTTGAGCGCAGAACAAAACGAGTCTTTGATATTGGCTCCCCCCCCCCATTTAGAAACAAGTTGCATTCATAACAGAATAACAGAAAGCTGAAACCTAAAACTGTCAAGCATAGCTTAAGTGTAATCTGGGGTAAAGTTTAAAAACAAAATAAAGTAGGAAAAATTTTGAGATACACATTGTAGGAATTTTGTCAGGGCTGTCGCATAATATGTATAACATTTTTCATTGGTAGAGTTTGTGATGTATTTAAAAAAAATAAGAGTGATGCACTGATAGAAAAATAAGTTTTATGGTGGCTGATAATCACTGTGATTATGTATATTATAAATGTACACTACCATTCAAAAGTTTGGGGTTGGTAAGGAAAAGACGAAAAAAAGAAGTCTATTATGTTCACCAAGGCTTCAGTTTATTTGATCAAAAGTACAGTAAGAACATTACTGTAAATATTATTACTATTTGAAATAAGTTAGCCTCTATCTGTTTGGTTATATTTGAAAATGTAATAAATAACTCTAGTCTTCAGTGTCACATGATCCTTCAGAAATCAGTAGTGAAAACAGTTGTGCTTAATATTTTTGTGAAATTTGTGATACTTTTTTCAGTATTGTTTGATTAGTTGAAAGTTCAAAAGAACAGCATTTATATGAAATAGAAATTTGAAACATTATAAATGTTACTGTTACTTCTGATCAATTTAGTGCATCCTTGTTGAATAAAATTGTTAATTTCTTTAAAAAAAACTGACCCCAGACTTTTAAACAGTATTATATTTTCAAGTGAAATCAGGCATCAAAACATATAATATAATGTACTGTACATTCAAAGATGTACAAAATATCAGCATTTTGTTGGTTATTGGCTGATATCTGTGAATATTCATCAGCCGATATTAATTTTTTTCTGCCTACTTTAATATTTAGATAATCGTCTAATTTAAAGGTCCCCTGAAATGCTTAGAAACACGCAGCGTTACTCTGTGTTGACGTCATTTTAACTGAAACAGGAAGACAGGGCGGGACATATCAAGCAACCCTGCCCCTTTTTAAAATAGCCAATAGCATTCGTTTGACAGGGTATGCCAGCCACAATCTCAGAGCCGTTTTGCCGGAAGTGACGAACTGCAAGCTTTGAATGCTTATATCTTGACTTCTAAATGCTAATTTTGTCACTGTTTTGGAGCACATTGCCTTATAGATAACCTTAAGACTAACAAATTGATACTAACACCCAAAAAACTTTAATTTTGATTTCATGGGGACTTTAAATAGATGACAACAGACTATGGTTTCCCTTTTAGAGCACATTTCTATGAGCTGCTGTGTGCATGTAATGAAAGTTTTCAGTGTTTTAATGTTTTTTAAGTAGTTTAAAAGTAGTATAGATTTATAATATCAACATTTATTGGTTATCAGACATGACATGAACAAAATAGTCTTATCGGCCGTAATTTCCATATTGGAGCATTCCCAGATACAGTAGAAAAGAAAAAGCTTCACTTATTGAGTTAGAAAACATATATGATCTGCACATATAGTCACAGAGAAACCCTGCTTCCCTAGTAAAAATGCTTTTTTCATGTGCTGTAACATTAAAGAAAAGCTTTTAAATGTCTTATGTCTTCTGATTTCTTAAACATCTAGCCTGGAACCATTTTTGGATGTGGGAGTACTTGGGAGAGGGAAATTGACTTTACCAATAAGTGTCTCAAAAGGGAAGAGTCTTTGTTTTATAGATGATCTCTATTAAATTAATGACACCAGATGTTTCAGACCCACACAGTTGTGGAAGTAGGCCATTCATTGTCCTAGGAGATCTCCTTGTTCACAACTTTCTGTTCTTAAGGAATTTCCTATTGATCTGGCCGAGCAATTTATTCCTCTCTCTCTGGAGAGATGGGGAGGAAGAGAGACATCGAGAGGAAACCGTCAGAGCGAGTAGGGGATCCTCGAGAGCATGTCAGCGGATACGCGGGAGGAAGTGTTGATGAATGGACGCCGACTGTCTCGAATGTCTCCGGTACCGTTTCTTCCAACACTTCCGGCAGTTTCTAGTCTTAAACCAGACACACTTTCTGAAGTGTAGTTACGTCAGCTACAAGTGAACTGAGATGCAGACTTGATAGACCCCATCAAGTGGGAAGTTTGTTGCGTCTTCCTCCATCTGTCTCTTATTGAGCGAAGTGTGGTATCGTTGTGCGTCATGCTGGTTCTTTCTAGTGCACCGTTGGAGAGGAGGGGAACTCAGATAGGAAATGAGGGAGATGCAAGGAGATGACAGGCCCATGAATCACCCCCACTTTGAGGAGATGGGTCACATCAAACACACACAGTGTGTTAAAATGCCTCCTGTTACCTAAGCGAACAACAGAGGAAACATTCACTCCATGTACTCTGAATCACCCATATATGCCAAGAATTCAGTCCACTTTAAGAAGGCAATGCTTTTTAAGAAGTGAATCATGCACTGTTTAAAAATTTATTTTTTTTAAGTTGTAAATACAATTTCAATAAATTGTATTTGAAAAATTCAAAAAATTCAATGCATTACTTGATGTTTCTTTGTAATTATTTGTGAAATTTACTAGCAATTTCTGAGTGAAAATTGTAAACCAATTTAGTATTATTTTTTTTCAGTTTTTTCATTCAACCACCAAGAGGTATTTCTTTGCCGTATGGTTTGTTGTGTGTATGCTCTTAAAAAAAGGTAGAAAAGCTGTCACTGGAGCAGTACCCTTTCAAAACCTACTAGAAACTAATATGCCTTTAAAGGGATAGTTCACCCAAAAAATTAACATTTTGTCATTGATTACTTAACCTATCGTTCCAAACCCGTAAGACCTTTGTTCATCTTTGGAAAACAAATTGAAGGTCCACTGAAGTGCTTTAAAACACGCAGCGTCATTCTATGTGTTTACGTCATTTCAACTGAAACAGGAAGACAGGTTGGGACATATCAAGCAACCTTTTTTAAATAGCTAATAGCGTTTCGTTTATATCACAGCTTGGGCCAGAGCCATTGAGCTTGGTAAAGCTGAATTTGACAGAATAAATATTCGATTAGTTTTAAGATTTAAGATTTAAGATTTAGATTTAATTAAAGAATATTGTGCGATTATTGTCTTAAAAAAATTCCCCATGTTTTCCGCGCTGATGCGGTGGTGATGCGTTCATGTAAGCTGAGGGTGGCGCTGCCAGTAACACACCTAAAAGCTGTCAAAGACAACAGAAGAACACATTGTCTCACGCGCACACTGTAGACTTGTGGTTACAGTAATTTGGGACGATGTCAAATAAGAGTTCTGTGCAAACCACAAACACCCCCGACTGGGTTAGAGGTGTGGCTGAATGCGTGTTCAGAAAGGTGTGGAAAACAAATAACGTGTTCTACGGAGCCACTAAAGGGACATGGTTAGCCGCTTGCTAGCGGTAGCCTGTTAACATTACAGTACATTACATTTCACTTACCACATAAACAAAGTAAGGAGAGATGACTGATAGGATGATGGCGAATGATTTGCAGATCCTGAGCAGCACTGACAAACATCTAATCTTGTAAAATGTGTGGTAAGTACTGCAGAGTGCTGCGTATTCTGGGAAGTTTGTGTGCATTGGGAATCATATATATATATATATAGATAGATATATATTTTTTCAAATAAAGATAAAGCCAAGTTAACACTCGTTTTACATACAGCACGCAATGAAAATTACATGAATATGACAGTGGGCAAATGCATAAAGTGCAGCATAATTTGAAATCAAGAGTTTAAAGTTTGTTGATCGTGCGTCTCCAGTGAAGCTGAACTCTCCTCCTGTCCGCATTCAATTTGCACGGACCGACCGTCACGCAGACAACACGCGATCATGCAGGATACACATGCACACTTCACAAGATCTGAACTAGATTCGACTAAGTCTGCAAGGTTTGTGAAATTAAATGTTCATTAGTCATTCAAAGATTTGTTTAAATTATATAAATGCGTATTTGCTGAATGCACATGTCACGTCACGTGTTCAGAAAGGCGCGGAAAACAAATAACGCGTTCTACGGAGCCACTAAAGGGACATGGTTAGCCGCTTGCTAGCGGTAGCCTGTTAACATTACAGTACATTACATTTCACTTACCACATAAACAAAGTAAGGAGAGATGACTGATAGGATGATGGCGAATGATTTGCAGATCCTGAGCAGCACTGACAAACATCTAATCTTGTAAAATGTGTGGTAAGTACTGCAGAGTGCTGCTCCATACGTGTGATCGCGAATCTCGAAAGGGAAAGTAAAAAACAAGCGCGCGTTCAAAAGCAATTTCAGTGCCCCTCATATTAATAACAGCTCCCTGATGCCCGCAGTTTATATTATTAGATAGACTTCTATCCATATTAGACAGAACTGAACGAAGACCGCGAACAAAAGGGAGAAAGTGAGAGTCCCGCCTCGAACACATCGGCCAAACAGAAAAATTTATCGGCCGATGCCGATATTCGAAAAATGCTAAATATCGGCCGATATATCGGCCTTGCCACTAGTTTAGAAATCACTAGTTTTTATACAGTATAATTGCCGAATGATATAATTGCGACAGAAGATATTGAAGTAACGTATATTTTTCCTCCCATCTCGTATCTATTTCCTTTAGGGGTTCCATTTTTTGAAATGGAAATATCCTAGCCTTAAATCATTTGAAAATGGATTAAAAATAATTGTGTAAAATAAACATATACTTACTTTAAAAGACAAAGCATTTTTTCACAAATAGATAAATATTTGATAAAAATCTAATTAAAAAGGAAGTAAACACTGTAACCAACAGGGCACTCTGTATTCTGGGAAGTTTGTGTGCATTGGGAATCATATATATATATATATAGATAGATATATATTTTTTCAAATAAAGATAAAGCCAAGTTAACACTCGTTTTACATACAGCACGCAATGAAAATTACATGAATATGACAGTGGGCAAATGCATAAAGTGCAGCATAATTTGAAATCAAGAGTTTAAAGTTTGTTGATCGTGCGTCTCCAGTGAAGCTGAACTCTCCTCCTGTCCGCATTCAATTTGCACGGACCGACCGTCACGCAGACAACACGCATGCCGATATTCGAAAAATGCTAAATATCGGCCGATATATCGGCCTTGCCACTAGTTTAGAAATCACTAGTTTTTATACAGTATAATTGCCGAATGATATAATTGCGACAGAAGATATTGAAGTAACGTATATTTTTCCTCCCATCTCGTATCTATTTCCTTTAGGGGTTCCATTTTTTGAAATGGAAATATCCTAGCCTTATGAGCAGTTGATTTATGCTAAACGACGGACTGTTATGTTAATACGTGCTGTCATTCGGTTATGTATAACATTATATTAATATGTTTCAGCACGTAACAATCATTATATGGCTTGAGTTAAGGTAGCCTATCTTCTAAATTAAACAGATTATCATACAGATTGAAAGTGTGAATCCCGTCTCTCTCTGTTTATGGGTGTTTGTGCGTGCATGCGGGGGAGGGGTGCGATTTTCGAATAATAATCGAATAATACCCAGCGATTTTCTAATATTATTATTAGCATTTGATTGGACAAAGTTTGATGAGAAGCTGAAGTGCAAGGTGATGTCATCAAAATCGTTGATCCATTTTAACGGAAGTTAGAGACTGTAAGATTTGAATGCTTATATTTTGTAAATGCAAATTTTGACATTCTTTTGGAGCACACTTATAGATAAACGTAAGGCTTTTCATACTAAAAGCCATAAAACTTCAATTTTGATTTCATGTGGACTTTAAAATATTTTTTATGAAATCCGAGAACTTTCTGACCTGGCATAGACAGCAACAGAACTGACTCGTTCAAGGGCGAGAAAGGTAGTAAGGACATCGTCAAAATTGTCCAAGTGACATCAATGTTTCAACCGCAATTTTATGAAGCTACGAGAATTATTTTTGTGTGCAAAGAAAACAAAAATAACTTTTATTCAGCAATTTCTTCTCTTCTGTGTCAGAATTTGACGTGCGTTCACGACAGCGGCAGCTTTTGTAAAAAATTTTTAAGTGTCCTGTATCCTACAAGTGTCCAGGGTTTAATTATAAAATAGAGAGAGATTCTTTTGAGCATCTTTAAACACTTGTGTTCTGAATATTTCTTTCTCTTTCTTGCCTCCTTCGAGAGCCCTGATGTGGTCCGAGCTCGAGGGCCGCACTTTTTCCGCTCTGTGTAGTCTGCACACGCCCACACGCATATGCCTACACTCGTTTAAGTAGCCTGCACATTCCTGCATTCACTCTATCTTCGGACTGCAATACCTTTCATATTTTGACATCATTTTTAAAGAGGTGTTGCAACCAAACATAGTATAGCCATATCATAGGTTGTTTATTGGGTTACTGCTCTCTAATCTGTTAAATTGTGGTCAGATATTGTAATGATTTCTTGATTAGTCTGTCCTGTATCATTATCCGCTGATTTCATTGGGCTCACATCCAGATAACTGATGACGACCTGCACAAGGTTAAGTGTTGAAAGATTATTTTGTTGCCAACATTTCCACAGGCTCTTTCACAAATATGATACATGACTGGCAATTTTTTTTTTTTTATCAGAAGTTTTCATTAAATGTTACATTTTTTATTATATGCCTTAGAATCTTTAATGTAGGTAGGCCATGTCTTAATATATACAATACCAGAGGTCAGTTTATTTAGGTCACGCTGTATTTATTTGATCAAAAATACATTAAAACTGTATTACTGTATTATTGTGTTTATTGGGTTACTGCTCTCTAATCTGTTAAATTGTGGTCAGATATTGTAATGATTTCTTGATTAGTCTGTCCTGTATCTCCTTCCGCTTATTTCATTGGGCTCACATCCAGATAACTGATGACGACCTGCACAAGGTTAAGTGTTGAAAGATTATTTTGTTGCCAACATTTCCACAGGCTCTTTCACAAATATGATACATGACTGGCAATTTTTTTTTTTTTTATCAGAAGTTTTCATTAAATGTTACATTTTTTATTATATGCCTTAGAATCTTTAATGTAGGTAGGCTATGTCTTAATATATACAATACCAGAGGTCAGTTTATTTAGGTCACGCTGTATTTATTTGATCAAAAATACATTAAAACTGTATTACTAAGAGTATTATTGTTGATTTTTCCAGTCTTCAGTGTCACATGATCATTCATAAATTATTCTGATATGCTGATTTGGTGCTCAAGAAACATTTCTTAAGTTTATCAATATTGAAAACAGTTGTGCTGCTGAATATTTTTTTAGGATTCTTTGAGTAAATAGAAAGTTCATATGAAATAGAAATATTTTGTAACATAATTGTCTTTTCTGCCACCAATGTAATGTGTCCTTGCTGAATACAACTATTAATTTCTTTGGGGAAAACGAATCTTACTGACTGCACATTTTTGAATGGTAAATAATGGAACAATAACAATAATTTGTCTATTTAAAATGTTCACTTTTTGAAGTCACGCTCACAGACCTAGATAATGCGATTGCAGCTTGGCTTTGTCGCACTACAGTTTGCCTCAGTGGGTGTATTTAACCCTTCAAATATTTGTAATTCATGGACCGACAGATGAAAACTGTAGCCCAAGTATTCAAAAACCTGCTATAAATGTGCATGTTAAAGTAAGCTGTGTTGTAAGCTATTGAGGAGAGATTTGTTCATAAGTTCCTTATTCAGCTCTAGCTTCAAGTGTTCCTGCCCACAGTGACCATATAAACTGAATTATGGCCTGTGGGTGAGTATTTCTCAGATTTGACAAGGATAACTCATACTGAACTATGAACAAAGCTGCTTCCAGGACCACTTCAAAGATGTGACGTTGGTGGACTCAATGGTACCTTGCCTCGTGCAACCCTTATAAATGGCTGCTCACAAGCGAGGCGTTTCTACAGTGCAGAGCTGCCCTCCTTCTGTCAGCACACTGGTTGTGGCTCAGACAAAGCTGCAGATTGTCTCCAAAGTGCTGGAGTGCCAGGCTTGGGGTTAATACTGACGCTCGTGCCAAAAGCACCAAGGGGCTCGTTTTCTCGCCACTGTTACAGACAGGAATTTCTTGAGAGGAAGTCGTGTATGTGCGTTCACGTGTGCTTTGTGCGATTGTGTGCGTGTTTGTAACTCTCCATAGCCAAAGTCCAGCAACTGTAGAGTCATTGTTTTAATTCTAATTGAGTTCAGCATGGAGTCATTCCCAGAATGCCATTTAGTCAGTTTTCATCGCATGCCTTTGTCCATTACAAAATCAGATTTGGTGAAAGGGCAGAGAGTTTCATGATTTGGTACTGTTGCAGAAGTCATTGCGTGCAGACTGTGTCACAGATCATCTATAAGCAGGCCTATGAAGAATGTCTGCAGATTTCCACACAATTAGAGTGCCTGAAAATCAAGTTCTGAACTCAAAAAGTTTTGCATTCAGCTAGTTACTTTTGGTTTCGATTATCTGCATGAGGATATCAGGAAGGTGACTGTCTGGAAAGCATTGTTTTCATGGAACCAACTCCACCCACAGTCTGCAAACATAACCAGACATTCATCCACTATAATAAAAGCTTTATTGTACAGACGTTTTGAAAAATATTTGTTTTTGTAAAAACAATGACAAATTAAAATAATTTTCATTCATAACTGTAGCCTAATCTTTGGGATAACTTGATACTAGCCAGACGTGGCAGTCAAAATTTTTTTATGGTTAATATGAATTTAAGCCACCTTTCCACTATCTCCGCTATTTGCATATAACTGTCGCATTTTGCCCCCCAGGAACAGTCTTTGCCTATCAAGCATATTTGATTGGATTGTTAAAGGGGTCATATGATGCTTTTTTAAAGATCATTATTTTGTGTATTTGGTGTAACAGAATATGTTGACATGCTTTAATGTTAAAAACACAAATGCCTTGCTGTACTGTTGTAAGTGATCTTAATGATTCCTAAATGCATCTACTTTCGGAAGGCTAAATAAAGTGCTTTTGCTTTCGCCTAGAAACACACAGCGTCTCCTTGACATGGCTGCTTCAACACTAACTGCTGTTCCTGAAACCACGCCTTCTTTCTTTGCGTGATCATTTGGGCGCATTATGCAAATATTTCCACATGGTGAGGTAGATATGTGGGGGCGTGTTAGAATGAGCCGTTTTAGGGGGGCGTGGCAGAGTCTTAACTTTGATAAAGAATATCTCTTTGGTTTTGAGACTTTAGTCTTTGCAACTTCAGGGATCTTATCTATGCACAATCAGCTTGTAACACTCCAAAGAGAAAGGAAAACTTGAAATCGCATCATATGACCCCTTTAATAATTCAAAACATTTTTAAATTGTGTATTCTGCTAATGCAAATTCAATTTGGAATTTTTTGGAAAATAGGTCTTAAATATTCTGTTTAGTTTCTATTTTACATTTTTTTCATAACTCAAATATGGCTTTCACCATAAAAATAGCCAAAGAATTAAAAAAATGATGGAAAAGTATACAAATTCTCACTATTAACTAGTTGCTTATTAGCATGCATATTATTAGCATATTGGCTGTTTATTAGTACTTATAAAGCACATATTCTGCATGACCATATTCTACATCCCTAATCCTACCCAATACCTAAACTTAACAACTACCTTACTAACTACAGTAGTCAACATTTGGATCAAAAAAGTTAATCAAAGTTGTCCTAAGACAAGAACGGGTATTGTTTTGGTTTTAGGACAACTTTGGTGAAAGGTTTTGATCCACTTCAAATGTTGACTACTATTTTAATAAGCAGTAATAAGGAGTTTATTGAAGCAAAAATTGTAGTTAATGGTTAGTTAAAGGTGCACTAAGCGATTTTTGCCAAACGATGTTGATATTTGAAAGCACCAAAACAAAAACGCCTATAGCCCAACAGGACCTCGCCCCTATTTTGAAATCTCCGCCCCAAACATACGTACACAACCATGGCAACGACGATCGAGGAAACAAGTGAAGATGACACGCAAGCATATTCAAACAAAAGCGAATAAGTTGTGTGAAACAAAGCAAAATCAATGTTACTCACCTATCAAGAAGAAAAACAACGCAACCTCGGCATCCGATCCCAAGCCTTCCGCTCCTTGAGTTCTCTCCCCGAAGAGCCTGATCATAACCCTTCTTTTTAATGTTTTGGTTTTCTTTTTTTTTATCTGTCATCTCTCTGTATCTATAGTCGAGCTGCTAATATCCGTCCAGTGCACTCAAATTGAGCGCTCTTCTCTCTATCATTACAAGACACGCCCCCTTACTGCTGATTAGGGTTGGGTATCGAGAACCGGTTCCATTTTAGAACCGGTTCCAAATTTTCAATAATCGGGTAATCGATAAGACATGTGCATTTCGATTCCGCTTAACGATTCCCGCGTTCGCATTTTAACGTGATTTTAAACTATTTAAGTGCAGGAAGGGAAAGAACTTGCACACTGTTTGCGTGCAGCGCACACATCTGAAGCGCGAGCACAGAGAACAGTGGTCCCGATGCAGGTTCCAGACCTGTGTCCGTTCTCGAACTGTTCCGTGCATTTCCACAAAGGTTGTTCCCAGAACGAACTGACTTCTCTTTCACATTTATCGACCAGTATGCACGAAATATGTCAGTATATCATCATAAACACAGACGTTTTTTTGTCTTAAGTGAACACAAACAGATGAGAACGAAAACGCATGTGTAACAGTACTTTTAGATCTGTGTGTGTTCGGTGTTAAAGAGACAGCCGTCTAATAAACGTGCTGCCTATCATTAATGTTAATCAAAGAACAAAAGAAAATCATTAACTGACTGAATATCTTTCGTAAATTTAATGAGGATTAATCAATATTTTATTTATGAAAAGAAAACTATACAGTGTTTTTAAACTTTTGATTTAAATTTCTGTACCTGACATATTTGTTCAGTTTTATTTATTTATGCTATTGCTAATTAATTTGTTTACTTGTCTTTAACAATTTAATGTTTGAAATTTATATTAGTCTAGTTGTTTTTTTCTGTGGTATTTTTTTGATAAAACCATAGACATAAAACAGAATAAATATGTTTGACATCTAAATATTTGACTTAAAATTTGTTTAATGGATTTTTTTATCTTATTGGAATCGGAATTAGGAATCGATAAGAATCGGAATCGATAAGTAGAATCGGAACTGGAATCGGAATCGATAAAATTCAAACGATACCCAACCCTACTGCTGATTGGCTACAAGTGGGTTTTGGGACTCGGTCAGGGACTGTGGTCAAAAGCGTTGATCAAATATTGCTTAGTACACATTTAATAGTGAGAAATGGACCTTAAAATAAAGTGTAACCAAAAAAAATCACACAAACAAATGATCAGCCTATGTCAATCACATAGCACTTTCAAAGTGGTTATGAAGCAGCTGTTATGCTCCTCTTATTCATCATTGTAAAATAAACGAGTAATGAATCTATGAATACATCCACACAAAACAAATGACCGCTAAAATGTCAGAAAGAAAACCATAGTAGGTTTTCAATGGTGAATTAATGTAAATAATTATGTAATAATTATAAAATAATTATTTTGCACATCATTTTTCATAACCAACATAATACAGAAATATTGTTTAAATAATAACGTTTTAGTACCAAAAAATATTGGTAATTCTTAACTGACGCTGATAGACTACATCACATACAGTCTAGCCAAAAAAGTTAAATGCCACAAGTATTTCAATGCGCCTGAAGCTTAAATTAAAAAAAATCTGCATATGCAAACAATTGGAACTCAACAGCTCCTGTACTGCTCTCCATTGGAAATGAACCACTTTCCAAAATGAAAGGCTGCTTTAGCATATGTGGAGTGGAATTTTGTTCCAGTGAGATTTTGCTGTGGATGCCACAAGATTAAAAACCAAGCCACAGACAAAATGTCCTGTCGCTCACTGCTGATTAGACAAAAAAGCTTTATGCTGTATCGCATTGCATGCGGTTCGAACAAGTATGCGACTTGTATTTATCTCCAAATATTTAAGTCTCTGTGAGCAGATTTGAAATGCTGGTGGCATTTGTGTGTTTTTTTTACCCACTTATTTATTTATCCCACCATGAGTTTGTGTCTCATGCTGTACAGCAGAGTGTCTGTGGGGAGTTGAAAGCTACTCGCTGTCACACACACACACACATACACACACAGATGCTCACTACGTAGAGTGAAAATGAAGAGTAATGACAGTGGGGTATTGACTGTTGTGTTACTAGATCTCAGGAGAGTTATAGTACACACTGCCAGAGGGAGAGAGAGAGAGAGAGAGAGAAGGAAATGGCCTGTTTTCTCTGAAGAACAGTTGAGGGAGAGGTATCATCGTGGGGGAGGTAGAGATGGACCACTTAGGGATGAGAGATGATCGGACCTTCAGATTGTGAGGAAAAAGCGAGGGAAGATCCGAAAGCATGCGGATGAAAGAGTTAGGTACACCTCTGTGATTTTGTGTGTCCTGATTCTGGTGTCATTCAGACGATCATTACCTCAGCTCTAGTCTGTTACTCTTTCAGTCTATCTCTTTCTCTTCCTGTGTTGATTTTATCAGTCTGACATAGTTACACGTTTTGGTCACGCTAGCATAAAGAAATCCCCCCCGAGAGGCTAGATTGTCTCGCAGCGATTCAAAGGACTTTGTGAGCTGTGTGAGAGTGAGAGATTGATAGGTGTTTTCTAAAACAGAGCAGCCTCTTTCTCATGAACGAGGTTGGGGTTATAAATTAGCCTGCGTGAGAGAGAGAGGCTTTGGCCACAGCCGTCGGCCGTGTTTTATTCTCCCACAATCAATGAGGATGAGCCATCGTCACTTCTCCTCCCCTGTCCGCACGCCTTGAACGTTGACGGGAATGTAAATTGGGCTGAACTATGCGTGGGGCCTATGAATTCATGCACAGATCAGCAGTATAAACATACACACGGTCACGCTCATGTAGGGGTGCACCTTTCAACCGGTTCCCACGTCTCAATCTCGCAGGAATGTTACTAGCCCTATGGGGAGTATTTAGACGTGGTCCCTTTTCTTTGCCTTTATTCTTTTCTTTACCTATATTACTTGAATCCGTTCGCGCCATCTGTTGTATCTTTACTGAGTGAAATATGGAATCAAAGCACTGCTTTACTGTCACCCGGTGCTGAGATCTGTGGAAATGAGAAAAGTCTTTGAGCACACCCACTTTGAAAACACAAAGTAGAGCAACAGTATGAGTTCAAATGGAGATAAGGCCCGTTTTATCACTGAAACTCCTGGCAAGAAACTTTATGACCTCATCGTCTTCAATGCAGGAGCCACTATTAGCAGTGTAATAGTATCTGTCCTATGGCAGCTATTGTCAAAACACCCTTGTTCCCTGTCGAGCACTGAGGTTGTTATCAGTTACAGACTGCTGACTGGACTTGAGTTGCGATAAACCATTTTGCACATGACTTTGGCATGAGAACAAGTTTCAGTTGCATCTTACAGTATATGTATGACCTGATGATCAGACAATTGACATTGTGTGCGCCTATTAGTATTTGTTTATATACTATAAAATTTTTCTTAATTTTGAATTAGCATTTATTTTTATATTTTGAGTTTTCATTTAATTTTTTAGTAAATATTTTATGTGCTTTTGTAATTGTTTTTTTTATACTATTTCTTTTTAGCTTTGTTTTGTTAGTTTTTTTTAGTTTAGTACTTATTTAATTTAGTTATTTAAGTAATTTAACTTATTTTATTGCAGAGGCAGCATCTTTAATTTCAGTTTAAGTTTTTCATCTAATACATTTTATTTTATTTTAGCTTTAAAAAAGTTTTCGCTTACAATAGCAACACTGACATGCACATGCAATTGTATTACGTCACCCACATGCACTTTTACTCTCTCTGCTGTTATAAACCTGTGTGTTTTTTTTGTTTGTTTTTTGGTTAATATTTAGCAGAATGTCTTAAATCTCATTTAAATATGGCACAGCAAAATGTATGCCAGGATTGACATCAATGACGAGATGCATGATAACCTGTTTTGTTAAAGGGATAGTTCACCCAAAAATGAAAATTTGATGTTTATCTGCTTACCCCCAGGGCATCCAAGATGTAGGTGACTTTGCTTCTTCAGTAGAACACAAATTATGATTTTTAAGTCCAGCCGTTGCAGTCTATCAGTCGTATAATGCATGGCAATGGTAACAAAATCTATGAGAGTTAAAAAAACATGCACAGACAAATCCAAATTAAACCCTGCGGCTCGTGACGACACATTGATGTCCTAAGACACGAAACGATCGGTTTGTGCTAGAAACCGAACAGTATTTATATCATTTTTCACCTCTAATACACCACTATGTCCAACTGTCTTTGGGCGCGCACATTGAAGAAACAAAGTCACCTACATCTTGGATGCCCTGGGGGTAAGCAGATAAACATCAAATTTTCATTTTTGGGTGAACTGTCCCTTTAAGAACCTGTGTTATCATATGAATTATGTTTTTTGGCTATTTTTGTAGTGCATGTTTTTGTCAGTTTTGTAGGTTATTTATTTTTTATTGTATTGAGGAAAACGCACATTCTGCACATTTGTCTTTTCTTTTTGTGTTCCATAGAAGAAAGAAGGTGTATCCTTTTGTGATCATTTTAATGACACACCTTCCTATAGGCACTTCACAATAAATTAAATGTTTTTTTTTTTTTTTGTATTCAGGAATAACACATTATGTTGATCAAAAGTGACAGTAAAGACTTTTATAATGTTACCAAAAAATTCTATTTCAAATAAATGCTGTTCTTTTGAACTTTTTATACATCAAAGAGATATTATTATCCATTGATATTAATGTTTTATTAAAGTTTTTATTGATATAGTATTTTTTGTAAGGTAATCAGAAAGAAAAACAAAGGAACATAAGGAGACTCAGTAATAGGAAGGAAGGGAGACGCAGAAGGTGGTGTATATGTGTGTGTGTGTTCCCAGGTGGCTCCTGAAGTCACAAAGCTCTATTCTAGAGGGTAAATGGGAAGACAGTAACTCAAAACGAACAGCCTTTAAGAGACACAAACTGCCTCTCCAACTGAGCTTCCTCCATATGTTTTCTGTTCTCTGCAGCACACACTGATGGCCGTGTTTAGTCTTCAAATGCTCCCTATCACGGGTCTTCAGCTGTCATCAAACTCCTTGCTTTTTTCTTCCTGAAAAATATAAACCTCATAGCTTCTATTTTCCTTTTTTAGTGTTACTTATTTCAAGATGACTTTGCAAACACTACCATTCAGACTACCTCTGTTTGATCATCTTAATGCATCCGTGCCGAATAAAACTATTTCTTTAAGAAAAAAAAAGTACTTGCATAGTGTACTTGAATGATGGTGCTACAAGCTACTTCAAAGAATAGCGTGGTACATATCCTAAAACCATAGTTGTACCCTGATACTTTTTGTTAGCTCTCTTTCTTCTCTCCTCCTTCAAAACAAACTATCTGGCTGCTTTTGTGCGCTTTCCTTCCCTTTTCTCTCTCTCACACAGAAATGCAGCCACACCTTGTTCCTTTATATCTATCAGTCACTGCTGCTTTTGTTGGGAAGACTAAACCTACCGGAGTTCATTCACATCTGCCACAAAACACCTGTTATGTCACACTGGGTCCGGGGGAAAGGAGTGACTCATCATGGTCTTTTCTTTTAGGCCGGTCTAGGACCAACTTTATATTTGAACACTGAACCACTGCACACTGTTCACAGTCAGCTTCAGATGCAGTTCTGCTTCAGACACGATCAGTCTTCAGTTTGCCTCACCATCGCACTACCTGTCCCACTCAGACCGTTTACTAATGTGCGGCCTTGGCAGCTAACAATATAACACTGTGTCCTCATGTTACTGCTGTGCGGCGTGAGAAAGGGACATTATGAGAAGTTTGCTGTCGACCTCAGCCAGAAGCAATTAAACTGTTTATGAAGCATTAACTGAAGTATTTGTTTTAGGCTTGCTATTTATTTTGTGACACACGCGCTAATGTGCACTGTTGATTGAGTCCAGTGTCCGCTCAAACACTCAAATAGAGTGTTTTGAGTAAGGACGGACATTGGATGAGAATCACACACAGGAAGTTGAGCTCACTCTCTGGACTGGCCTTTGCACCTCAGTAGACTTGTCATCAGGATGGAATGAGAGGTACGGTTGAGTGTCATCAGCATTGCAGTGATATGAAAAGCCATAGCCGCGTTTCCACTGCAGGAACTTTCCCCAGGAACTAGGGACTTTGGGCCGGTACTCGGTGTGTTTCCACCGCAAAAACCAGGATCTAAATAAAGTTCTGGGTAAAAAATTGCCCCTCAGAAAGTGCTCATGTATCCCGACGAGAGCAGCCTCAACTCGGCTAGTCCTTCTGACATTTGCCGCTGGCTCTGATGTCTCTGTAGTGGATAAACATAAGATATATAAATTCGTTTTGGATAAATCTTAACAGGTAATCTTTGGTCTTTATTGTATTAATCTATTAATATGTTAAAATTAAAATTAAAACAGGCAATATTTGATATAGTATTTCGTTTCATTGTAATGTAGGCCATGTACGTTCCCTAAACATTTCTGCGGCTATTAATATGTTTAAATGAAAACGAAAACGGACAGTGGTGTTTGATATATTTCGTCTTATTGTAAATACAGTGA